ATGACATTTTATCATGATATACCTTATGGTTTTCCAAGTTGTTCTTGAGAGGTAGATATTGTATGTCTGATAGGATGGAGACCTATCTTGGGTTATTCACAGTTGTTTCTGAAAAGAGGAGCATACTGTGCTGACCTGAGCTCCAGACTTCCCCACACTGAATTCTCTAATCATAATCTTCTTTCCCAACTTGGCTTTTTGTCTGGAAGGACAGCAGTAATGGGAAATTAGTGTCATATCTCTTGCCTTGTGAGTTGTCCATAATTAGCCCCTTCAATTTGAAGCCTGTGGTTTAGAGGACAAAACGCATGTCATTTTTGTTAGGTAATCAAATGTGGCAAATAAAACACATTTCAAAACTTGCCTTAGGTCTAACTCATAAAGCCAAGGAAGGCTTTCATACCATCATTTCTAATCAGTCCAGTTTCAGTCCTTGGCTTAGGCCTGTGTTTATTTTTGTATTTTATAACTCACTGGATAGTATAGTGTTGGTGAAGACTAGGAAAAGGGAGATGAAAGTGTCATATTGATACAGGAGAATCAGATTTAGAGGAGTATTCCTCTTTCCTCTCCTCCTATATGATGGGAGCCAGAGCTTGGAAACATGACTCCACAGAGAATATAAACTACCTTGATTAATGTAAACAGCAAAGAAGTTCCAACTATCCCATGAGAGAACTTGCATGTGACCCTGGGTCATTCCTGGCATTATGCCTTCTTTATCTTGTTTCTATATTCTGTTCTGTTTCTCTATTTATGTTCTGTTTCTTTATTCTGTTTTTTTGGGCTGACCTGAAGTTGGTGTGGGAATCCATTTTACATTGTCTTGCTGCCACCCACAACTGACCTCTTGTGAGTGAGCTCCCCCATTTAATCCAAATAATACTTATTTGCTACAAAGATGGCATGGGCCCTTCTTTATTCTGTATCTCAGTATTATCTCAGAGGGTCTGCCACCCTATAATTGGCATAATCAGGGCAGAACAGATCTGCCCTCTTACAACTGGCATAGTCAGCAGTAGTCTGTCCCCTACAAATCTTGTGTCCTTACACCCCCATCTTATCTGCTATTATAAAAACTGACGACAATAACTTAGCTCCATACTGTAGCAACAAACTAATTTTTGGAGAAGTGGTGGGAGAAATAACTCATGTGGAATTTGAGTGAACCATGTAAGGCTTTCCTATCTTTCTCTACCCATGAATGAATACACTTACTGTGTGGCAAGCATTGTGTTGAATGTTGGGGATACAAATACATAAGCAAAGACAGTCCCTGAGCATAAGAAGCTTCCATTCTAATAGGTGACCAGAGAAGGCACTGGTCTTCTTTGGCACTGACAATCACAAGAGAGGCTGAGGCCATAGGGAAATATATTGACACACTATTCAGGAACAGTGGTAAAGTTGATTTGATCATGGTTCCAAAGCTGAAGATGGTGGAGGAAAGGGTGGAGGTGGGAGGGGATTGCACAGGGCAGTAAGGAGGTTGGTGAGCCTGTTTGGGGAGACAGGCCAGCAAATAGGTAGTAAAGCACGGGTAGAGCTTTACTGAAAAAACAGGCCAGGTTAATCACCAATCAGGACAGTGGGCCTCTCAGAGTTGTGAAGATGAAGGGAAGGAAACCGTCAAGGCAGTCTCTGGTGGGGAGCAGGGTGACTGGCAAGGCCCTGTAAGTCCTTTTCTCCCTTGATGCCTCATGCAGTTCTCCTGACATGTAGCTCTCTGCTGGGATCTAAGGGTAGGTGACTTTTTAGCCAAGAATTTCTTTCTGCTATGAGGGACCATACTCCCTTAAACTGCTACTGTTCTTAACTTTTTCAGCATTGTCTGCATTCATTTCTACTACCATTGGCCACTGCAATGGCTGTCATGTCGGTGTTTCCCAGACTCCCAAGGTCATGACTTGGCCTCATTTACCTTTGAATACTGGTTAGCCTAAGATCAGAAAAAAACAAATACTATAGACAAGTGGCCACCACGGATTGGCTGGAGATAGGGCTGCTGGAATTTTTGCCTCATCTCACTCTCAAGGAGACAACTTTAAGTAGTCCTTCCTTACTTGAAGCTGCAAAGGAAAGAGGTGTGACTTGGCAGCAAAAGACCAGTCATCCACAGTGCTCATTAAACTATGACTGTGGCAATTAATTTTATTGTGTTTGGTTTGTGGTTTCTATGACCTTTTAAATGATATGTATATATTTATTGTATTATTATATATGTCTAAATTTATACTTCTTAGAATTTTGTAACTGCATCCAAGGCCTTGGCTATCTGTACAGAACATCCTCTAATAAATCTTTTTGATATGTGGTGTGCATGGGTTTCCTCCTTTCCCCTTTCCTAGTATACAGATGCTGGGTTGCCACATAATCATCCATCTAGAAAGGCCTTTGCTGCCAGATGTAGGAACTGATACAGGTGGAAAGAATAATCACGTTTCACTTCAAAACTCCAAAAACTCACATAAGAGCTCATTCAAGTTGCTCCAGTAAGTGGCCCTAATTCAACCTCATGGTTTGTCATGGTTTACCATCTTTTGGTTAAATTTTTAGCCCTTCTCTTTTTTTTTTTAGCTAGGCAATGAGGTTAAGTGACTTGCACAGGGTCACCTAGCTAGTAAGTGTCAAGTGTCTGAGGCCAGATTTGAACTCAGGTCCTCCTGACCCCTGGGCCAGTGCTCTATCCACTGCATCACCTAGCTTTCCTCTTATCTCATACCTATATCATATGCCCCAGTTTCACTGTGATGAACTGAATTCTCACACTGTACTATGTATGTATGTTTATGGTATTGGATTATCATTTTACTGGACATTAGACTTCTTTGTATCAAAATTTGGAATGCTGAGTAGATAAACAGCAATCTATGGGTCAGGGTGATCCAACTATCCTTAAAATGGCAAGACCTCTGTAAACTCTGTATTGTTTTATTTTGTTTCTGGAAGCAATTTGCATGAATTTTAACTGAATATATTGGAAAAAAGCACATACTGCATGACTTAAGAGAAAAGTAGATCTGGAATTGAAAAGCATATCTGGAATTGGAAAGCTAAGATGTATTTAAGAAGACTTTGTTTAGCTAGGCCATGGCTAAAAATATAAAAATGATAAATTCTTGGCAAAGATTGTAAATAGATTTATAGCTGGAAGGGACTCCAGAATACATCAAGTCCAACCTTCTCATTTTATAGAGGAGGAAACTACACAGAGAGACTAAACAACTTTCTTAGGGTCACACAGCTAGTAAATCTAAGGCAACACTTGAATTCAGGTCTTTCTAACTCCAAGTTCAGCATTCTATGTACTACACCACAAAGCTACTTCTAAATAGGACCAGTAAAAACACATTTAGCTGCTTATCAAATACCAAAGGCTATTTAAACTGAAAGAGAATGGAGAAAACTGTCCACATAGTTCTGATAAACCTAGTATCAAAGAAAGCAACAAGCAAGTACTCATAAGAGGAAAATCAGAACAATCAGTAAAAATAATGGGAGAAGTATTTAAAGACAGTCAGTGACAAAACCCATAGCCTTATACACACATACACACACACACACACACACACACACACACACACACACACACACACACTGAGGCAATTTTGACTTATAAAGCTCACAAAGACAGAGAGATGGGCTACAATTTGTCTCTGAAAAGGTATGCCTTATCCAAAAGGAACAAAACAGATAAAAAATGGGGGATTGTATATTAGGAAAATATACTTTCAAAGAAATCCAAGATAATGAGGGGAGAAAAATGGCAGAGAACACTTGATCATAATTAATTAAGGTAAAGACATTTTAAAGTATACCAGAGTGAACAGTTTGGATTAATGCTGGGGAATTGCAGTTCTTTCAATGAAAAAACACTTGATTCTGGTGATATTTTATGGCTGTGAGTAATGGATCATTACAGTCTTCAAAGAACTAAAATTAAGGATCGCCCAAATGGTGAACACATGGTGGACACAAGTTGGCACACTACAAATGCAGAAGTGTGAGGGATGTTGTTAAAGGAATAGATGATCTAAAAAGATAGTCTGGTTACTTAGTAAGAACAAAAGACAACTGATAGCTCCACTAGCTCTATTGTTATCCTTGAGATATCAAGAGAGCTTAAGGAAGTCCCCCAACATACTGAGCTGCAGCAAACCTGTTGGAATGTGTGGACAAAAATCCCACAGGATAAGCAGGCATGGATCAAATGTAATCTACATCACTCAAGTGAGTACCCACATCACTGAGATTATAGGTCCACTGGAGTAAGGGTGTATAATAGCAGAGAGAAAAATTAGATAAGGAGTCTAGAAAAGTTTACAATCTGTCATCAGAGTACAATAATGCCACAAACTGAACATCTGCTGGTACTTTCTGACAAAAGCCAACAAACTTAAGACTTACCTTCATGTTCAATTCATCCTTCAAAAAGCAGAGGAAGCAATAAGAGCAAGTAGTATTCTTGACACAATTTTGACCAAAAGGAAAAATAGTTGCAGAAATAGAAATGACAGGAACCTTGGAGTGACCACTCCATCCAGGAGTTTGCAATGAAAATAAAAGTGAGACATGAGTCTGATGTATACCTAACATTTTAGGAGAAAAGATTTGTGAAGTTCAGAGAAAGAGTACATAGTACTTGATGTTCTACTACATTGAAGGGAAAGTTAGTGCTCTTGAGAATGAGATTCTTGGGGCAGCTAGGTGGCGCAGTGAATAGAGCACCGGCCCTGAAGTCAGGAGGACCTGAGTTCAAATTTGGCCTCAGACCAAATACTTGACACTTACTAGCTGTGTGACCCTGGGCAAGTCACTTAACCCCAACTGCCTAAAAACAAAAACAAAAAAACAAAACAAAACAAAAAAAAAGAGAATGAGATTCCGTGGAAAGGGTAGAGACTGAAATGGATGAACAAGGAACATATCAGTGCAGGCTTTAATAAAGACACATATAGATGATGAAAGCAAAGTCAAGTAATGGAGGTTGACTATAAAAGTATAGCATGATCCTGTAAGAACTATGTCAGGAATGATAATGCAAAGAATGAGCTGAGCCTGGCAGTCAGGGCTCCAGCTGAGGCTGGAGCTAAGGAAAATAAAAAAGGTATTTTAGCTATGCTGGGGGCAAAGAAAGAAAGGAGAGGATTACACCTCCACATGAAGGGTTGATTGTTAACAGATAAAGCTGAAGTAAGTAGGTTCTTACTTTGTCCCTATTTTCTCTTTCAAGGAGAATGTTCTTTGGACTGAGAAGGATAGAACACAAAAGGTTAGCAGGGAATGGAAACCGATTAGGTGAGGATAAGCACCTAGCTACCCTCAACAGGTTTAAGTCACCAGATACAGATGAATGCCATCCTAGAATATGAAAAGAACTGACAGATATGACTAAGCCATATCAATGACATTTGAAATATCTTGAAGAATGTGAGAGGAATCTTATGATAGGTAAACATTCCATTTTTTAGAAAAGTTAAGATGAAGACCAAAAGAACAATATAAATGAAAAAAAAATCACTGAAAGGAATCTGAACCTTGAACAAATGAAAGAGAACAAATGATGTGATATGCCTCTCTTTTCACAGTAGAGAGGTGGGGACTACTAGAGCAGAATATTGTATATACTGTCAGAGGCAGTCTCTGTGTTGGATGCTTGTGCTTAATTGTTTTTCTCAAGGCAATATCCAATTTGGAGAAGAATTTTTTTTTCTAGAAAGGACAGTGATGTAAAGACAAAAGACAAAAGGGGACGCTTTGTGAACAGTTTGAAAAAGAAGCATTATTTAAAGTGAAAATATCTTCATTGCAAACAGGTCATACCAGACTAAAATTTTCTTTCTTTCTTTCTTTCATTATGGACTTGTAGATCAGGGTGATGATATAAGCTACTTAGATTTCAGCAAAATATTTTAATTTGCTTCAATTCAACAAACATTAATTACACATCTACCATGCACAAGGCCCTTATTTCCAGTATGAATTCTTTGATGTTGAGTAAGGTTTGGTTTCTGGGTAAAGCTTTTGCCACAGTCATTACACTTATAAGGTTTCTCTCCAGAATGAATTCTCTGGTGTCGAGTAAGATTTGCTTGCTTGGTAAAAGCTTTACAACATTCATTACACTTAAAGGGCTTCTCTCCAGAATGAATTTTCTGATGTTGAGTAAGGATCACTCGCTTGGTAAAGGCTTTTCCACATTCATTACATTTATAGGGTTTCTCTCCAGAATGAATTCTTTGATGAATATTAAGCTGTAAAATATAACTATAGGCTTTCTCACATTCATTGCACTTAAATGGTTTCTCTCCAATATGAGTATGCTGATGTTGAGTAAGGTTTGACCGCTTGGTAAAAGCTTTTCCACACTCATTACATTTAAAGGGCTTCTCACCAGAATGAATTTTCTGATGTTGAGTAAGAATTGTCCGTTGGGTGAAGGCTTTCCCACATTCATTGCATTTGTAAGGTTTTTCTCCAGAATGAATTATTTGATGAAGATTAAGCTGTGAGACCTGGAAGAAAGCTTTATCACATTCATTACACTTAAATGGTTTTTCTCCAATATGAATAAGTTGATGCTGTGTAAGGTGTGCTCTCTGTGAGAAGGCTTTCTCACATTCATTACATTTATAGGGTTTTTCTCCAGAATGAATTCTCTGATGTCGAGTAAGGTTTGCCCATTTGGTAAAGGCTTTTCCACATTCATTACATTTATACGATTTCTCTCCAGAATGAATTCTTTGATGAAGATTAAGTTGTGAAATGGAACTATAGGCTTTCCCACATTCATTACACTTAAATGGTTTCTCTTTAATATGAGTATGCTGATGTTGAGTAAGGTGTGGCCTCTGGAAAAAGGCTTTTCCACACTGATTACACTTAAATGGTTTCTCTCCAATATGAGTAAGGTGATGCTGTGTAAGGTGTGTCCTTTGTGTGAAAGCTTTCTCACATTCATCACATTTATAAGGCTTCTCTCCAGAATGAATTCTCTGATGTCGAGTAAGGTTTGCCCACTTGGTGAAGGCTTTCCCACATTCGTTACATTTATAGGATTTCTCTCCAGAATGATGGGTATAATGAAGTTTCAACTCTGAAATATGTCTGAAGGGTTTGTCAAATTCATTATATGTAAAAGGTTTCTGTCCTGTGTAGATTCTTGGGCATTTAGTTAGTTGTGAATCATCTTTGAAACATTTTCCATGCATATTACATTTACAGACACTATTTACTATGGGAACTTTCTGTTGTGTAATGAGGACTGATTTCAAACTGAAGTGTCTCCCAAACTCATTACTTTCAGAGGTTTTTTCCTTACTTAGTGTTTCCTCATGTGTGATCATTACTTGCTTCAAATGATTGTCTTGCTGGCTCCGCTCTCTCACTAATGGGCCTTGAAATTTAAAGGCTTCTCCTAATCTGGAGTCCCAGAAACTATGTCTGATAGGTCTTTCTATTATTGTCCTCTGAGATAGTTTTTCTACAGAAGTTTCCAACTTTGGAAATGGCTCCTTTGTTTCAGGTTCAGTGTCAGAATCTGAAATATACAAAAAAAAATCTCCTATACTAGAAGAAAATTGTGGAAATAAGGGGAAAAATGTCTATTCTGAAATAACTCATATTTACAACTGTGAGGGTAGTAGTACCAATCTCAGTGATCTTCAGATGAGTAAACTGGGGCTCAAAGAAGTTAAGTGATTTTTCTGTAGTCACATGCCCAATAAGCAAATGAACTCTGACTTAATACAAGCTTCCAAAGTTGACTTCAGAACTCTTTCCCACTGCTATGAATATAGATTTTGTATTATATACTACAAAAGAAAGAGCTTTGGAAAACTAAAAATGCTAGGAGTTATCCTCATTTGTATTATTCAATACAAGCTTGGAATAAAGAAGAAAGAATAAACAAGGACATAGGTTTAACAGGAAATGTTGACAAAATATCAAATAGAATACACAGGTGGAAGCAGGATAGAATCTAAATTTTAAGTCTCCTTATTTCACATCTGGCCTTTTCCACTATATCTTATTATAGCACTAATATCATCAGATCATGATCCACTAATGCCCTTCATCCTTATGTATAAAATGAATCAAAACCTCTAGTCCAAAAAGTAAAGAGGAACCTCAAAAGGTGGTGCATTCCTCTTCACAAGAGATCTTTAAGTTATTTTGAATAGTTACATATTACCTATCATAGCAAGGTTTCTTATTCAATAATAATAACACTTACAATGAGCCTATTATGTGCTAAGTGCTTTATAATTATTAACCCGTTTGATCCTCACACCAACCCTGGGAGGTTAGGTGTTATTATCTCCATTTTACAGATGAGGAAACAGAGGTAAACTTTAAATGACTTGCCTAGGATAACATAACTAGAAAATATCTGAAGCTGGATTTGAATTCAGGTTTTCCTGACTCCAAGCCCAGTACTCTACCCACTTTGCCATCTAGCTGCCCTTCCAGTTGAAGTATGGGTTGGACTAGAGGGTCTCTGAATCCCTTTCCATTCTGATATTCTGTGATTTTACTCAACAATATCAAATGAAGAGGAAAGATTTAATATAAAGCCCATGAAAATACTCCTACATTTAAGTAAAAGAAATCAAAGATAACTTATAAAATAAGTTTCTACCAAATATTGAGAGCTGACGCTAGATTCAAGGAAATTAAGAAAGGAATGGGAATTGAGCAAACGGAGACAATGGACACACAATATATGATGACAATAAAATACATATGCATCAAGCCAGTTAGTCTCAACCCTTTCCCATTGTCCTGAAACATTTAGAAAAGAGCTTCTTGGGTCAAAATTTCAAAGATGCTTTCTCCCTGACTGACTTCCTTAATGACTAATTGTAGGAAATATCCATCTGTTAGTTTTTCATTAACTCACATGAACAAATGGCTCTTGGGGTTTTACTCTCCAGCGTCCATGGCATTTCCTCACGTTCCAACTGGGAGATGACATCTGGTTTAGGAATTGAAAGCCCTGCCAAGGGGAAGAAAAGCGAAATGGATATTTATGCTGAGGAAAAAAGAGTCATTCCAGAATGCAATTCAAGGCTCACTCTACTCAGAAAAGAGATAATATGCTAAGAAGGCCTAGAATAGTTCAAATGACTTCTGAAGAATATTTGGCATTGTGTTTCCATACTAGGATGATAGATCATGGAACTGATTTAGGTTAGAAAGGTACTTCTATCATTTGCCCTTTCTGCTAGAAGGCCACAAGTACCCCAACTCCAGAGGCATTTGCATTGGAACATTGGCAAAAATCCTAGACACAGGGAAGCAAAGGATAGGAAAATGGCAGTATCAGGAATAGCAATAAGGTAATGACACTACCTTATTTTTAGTTCTCCAAGGCAAAGACTTAAAAATCTAATAGGTCAAAGGGAATTAAGAATCTCCAGTTTTGAAACTTAAGACAAAACTCAGATAAATACTTCTCCTATCCCATATTCTTTAGAGAAGTAGGATATAAAACACCCTGAAGTAAAGATTCTGCCTCATATGGAGAATTTACCAAGAAAAACCAGATTCCTATAGTTCTCCAGAAGCACTTCCTTGTAGAGGTCTTGCTGAACAGGAGCCAGTTGAGCCCACTCTTCCCAAGTGAAGTCTGGATCCACATCTTTCAATGTCACCAATTCCTGAAACATCAAACACATTTGTGCTTTCCCAAGACTGGCTCCTTAGTCTTAGGAGAGGTTAATAGTACTGGGAAAATGAATGGGGTATATAGAGGGTGATGCTAACATTATTCAGGACACAAAAGAACCCCAAGTCATTTGTTGATTGAAAAACTATATAAATGCTAGGTATTGTTATTATTTCACCATGTGTATCACTTTTTGTCAGACTAGGTAGTAGACTTAAAAGAAGAATGAAATATGGCCTCCACTTTTGAAGAAATTTTCACTCAAACTTTTGATCTAGTTAGATCACCTGGTACAAATGATACATACAGGGTCTCCTCCACCTTCTTTTCTAATATCTCCTTCCACTGTGCTTAGGGAATTTCCAGTCTAAAGGGGGTTAAATGCCTTCAACATTGAACCTTATCCTCACCACCTCAGGGAAAGCCTGGCTCTCCCTAACTCTACTACTATATCCAGTGCTTTTTTCCTAGAAGAACCTCAATTTCCCCCACTATCCCAGAGAGAATAAGAAAGTCATTCTGCCTTTTTTTCTGTAGCACCAGGTCTCTCTCCATTTGCCTTCATTCTCTGTAAATGCTATAAAGCTGTATTACTCTCTCCAAATTGCTGACATCAAACTATCAGCACAAAAAAACAAATTTGAGTTTATTAGATTACTTAAGCATGGGACTCTCCATTTTTCTACTCTACCCCTTCCTTGTGAGACTTGCATCCTACTCCTATTTTTTAATGATACTCCAGGAGATGAAGTTTGTTATACTTCAAACTCTGATGAACCTGTGATCTCACTGATTTCACTCCTTAACAACAGTGCAGATTGCAAACCATCTATATACCCCTTCTCAGTCTCTGTAATTCTTGTCCAAATCCCTACACCCAGGAACTATATGAATCCAATTATAAAATGCAATTTGCAGAGATAAAAAAAGATATAAATAATTGGAGAAATGTTAATTGCTCATAGTAGGATGAATCAATATCAGAAAATGACAATACTAAATTAATTTACTTATTCAGTGCTGTATATCAAAATTTCAAAAGAATCCACTTACAGGGCTGGAAAAAATAATAATGCCATTCATCTGGAGGTACAAAAGATCAAGAAGTTCAAGGCAAGTAATAGGAAGGAAGATCAGTACCAGATCTCAAGCTATACTACAAAGCAGTAATCATCAAAACAATTTGGTACTAATTAAAATACATATAGGCTGAACAGTGGAACAAATTAGGCACACAACATAGAGAAGCACATAAATGTAATAGCAGAGTATTTAAAAAAACCCAAAGACCATAATTACTGGGGTGAGGACTCTCTATTTGGAAAAAACTGTTAGGAAAACTGGAAAGCAATTTGGCAGAAACTGGGTATAGACCAACATTTTATTTTTTCTTTGTTTTTTTTTTAAACCAACATTTTACACCATATACCAAGATAAACTCCAAACAGATTCATGACTTAGACATAAAAGTTGACATCATAAGCAAATTTTAGAGGAGTAAGGAAGAAATCACCTTTCCAATCTATAGAGAAAGAATAACTTAACAAGTGATAGAGAGGATCACAGAAAATGAAATGGACAATTCTGATTATATAAAGTTTAAAAATTTTAGCACAAATATAATGCAGTTAAAATCTGAAGAAAAACAGGTTAACTGAGGAAAAATCTGTTAAGCAATTTTCTCTGATAAAGGTCTCATAATCGAAGATATATAAGGAACTGATTCAAATTTATAAATCTAAGAGGCAATGGGAAATAAACATTGGGAAGTAACTCTTAGATTATAAACAAATGGTCAAAGGATATGAACAGGAAGTTTAAAAAAGAAATCCAAGCTATCAATTACTAGGTAAAATGTTCCATATCACTAATAGTTAGAAAAATGCAAATTAAAACAACTCTGAAGTTCTACTTCACATCCATAAAACTGGCAAACATGATAAAAGAGAAAAATGATAACCACTGCAGGGGTTGTGAGAAAGCAGGCACACTTTGCCTGTAGAGCTATGAATTGGTGGGGCCATTCTGGGAAGCAACTTGGAACTACGCCCCAAAAGTTAACAAACTGTATTTTAAGTTCATCAAAGTTAGTAAAGCATTATCAAAGTATATCAAAGTTATCAAACTGTGATCCAACCATACCACTAGATTCCTATCAGCAGTGGGGAACCTGTGGCCTCAAGGGCATATATGGTCCTCTAGGTCCTCAAGTATGGCCCTTTGACTGAATCCAAACTTCACAGAACAAATTCCCTTAATGAAAGGATTTGTTCTGTAAAACTTGGATTTAGTCAAAAGGCTGCACCCAAGGACCTAGAAGGTCACATATGGCTTCAAGGCCACAGGTTCCCCACCTCTGCACCTAAATAAATTAAAGAGGAAAAAGACTCATATGTAATGAAATATTTATCGTAGCTCTTTTCACAGTAGTGAAAAACTGCAAACTAGGGGGATGCCCACCAATGAGGTAATGGGTAAACAAATTATGGTATATAAATGTAATAATATTATTTTGCCATGAGAAATGACAAAAAGGACAGTTTCAGAAGAAACTAGGAAGATGTATATGATTTGATATAAGTGCAGTGACATGAACTAGGAGAACAATTTACAAAATAACACTATAGAGAAAAATATGAAAGACTTTAGAGTTATGATTAATGCAATGATAAAACATGAGTACAGAGGACTGAAAACAAATTATGCACCCACCTACTTGCCAGAGAGGTAACAGACTTAAAATACAGAATCAGACATGCATATCCGAACATGGCCAGTGTGAGAATTTGTTTTGTGGGATTATGCATACTTAGTTGAGGATTTTTAAAAAATCATTATAGTTAGAGCCTCACTAATATTTAGAAAATATGCTGTTATACTTTAATAAACAATGAGTATGAGGAATCAAAGAAAACTGTCCATATTTAAGGGCAGCTAGGTGGTACAATCGATAGAGCACTGGGTCTGGAGTCAGTAAGACCTGAGTTCAAATCTGGCCTCACACAATTTATTTGGGCATGTCACTTAACCTCTATTTGTCTCAGTAAAAACAGGGATAATAATAGCACCTATTTCCCAGCACTGCTGTAATTATCAAATGAGATAACATTTGTAAGTGCTTAGTACAGTGCCTGACACATAGTAAATGCTATATAAATGCTATTATTACACTGAGAATCAAAACAGTATTTTAGGAAAGAGAAAGGATACGCCAACTTACCTGAAATCTGGCTACTGGGAACACAGTAGACTTTTCCTTCTCTATGCTTCCCTCTTGGAGAAGAGTAGGATCTTGAGAACTCAGAACTAGGAAGAAAAAAGGACAGGACTAAGAATAGATGTAGCCTTTGAAAAATTCAGAGAGAATGGCATTATCACTTGGAGCCCTGACTTTGTACCTGTGGTCACAGCAGATTTCCAAGGACAGAATTTTGTTTAGGAGCCTACCCACAGCTGATTTCACAATTCTGTCTTCAATACAATTTCTTTGCCATAGAATCCTCTATATTTAATGAGAACTCTCAATTATATGGAATGTGGGATGAACAAATGTGCCAATTTCCTTATATAAAATGGCTTCATAATAAAATTAGTATTTTTTATTGATCAGCCAGAAAATGTAGTCTGTAGGACAGGATGGGAGTTACGAAATTAGGACCAAAACCAAGCTTACTTACTCTCTAGCTGTATGACCTGAACAAGTCAACTGATCACACTATCCATTAATTTTCTCATATATAAAACTAGGACTAATTACATCTACCTCATTTACCTATTTACCTCATAAGGGTCTTACAAGATGAAAACATTGTACAGGAAAAATGTTATTGTTGAACCCATTGCCCAGTTATTGATTTATGAATGGGTTGCCACAGTTCCTTGGCAAGAACCCTTGTGAAAATTTTATAGGAAGAAGGAATATTTTTGACTGTCTCTGATATCTATTCACTCAGAAGAACAGCCCATGAAGAATGCTCCCCTATTAAATGACCACATACTTTGCATAAAGTAAAACTACAAGGAATGGAGTGGGCTGGATGGATGATATAAGACACAGAAACAAGAGTGGTATTTAAAAGGTTCTTATTCACTGTCTCCAGAGAGCATATAGAACCTGTTTTCTCATCCTGACCAATTCACAGACTTTCTTTCACCTCTGATGCTTCCCTCTTTCATTATTGTTTTTCCCAGGGACCCTTTCTCTGGAATTTCTACTCTTCTCATGCCCTGAAGAAACTTTGCTCTTTCCCTCTGTCCTTCTGTAGATCTCACCTTCCTCATCAAGCATTTGAGTCAAATCCTCCACCAAGGTGACCACCTCCTCAATGTTCTGTGGATGCTGTGCCTTCACCCAAATCCTGATCTCACTGGGCAAGATGGTCAGGAATTGCTCCAGCACCAGCAGCTCCAGGATCTGCTCCTTTGTGTGAATCTCTGGCCTCAGCCATTGAAGGCAGAGTTCCCAGAGCTGGTTCACAGCCTCCCGGGGTCCAGCTTTCTCTGGGTATGGAAAACATCTGAAGCTCTGGCGAGAAGCCTCAGGGCTGAATTCCTCTTTTCTTAGAATGGTGATCTGTCCCTTGGGAGCACCTTTTAGTAACCTGTCTTGTTCATTTACATCCAGAATATGGGGAACTAGGGGGATGGACATCACCTTAATCTGGGCTAACATTTCTCCATCTGGTACTGTAACACTGGGCTTCAGAGTTGCATTCCCACAGGGAAGTCAATTCCTTTCAGATTCAGGCTGGACATCTGCATACATTCATGAGGAGTACTGTGGAAAGAAATAGATCATGGTTAGTAAGAGGGACCAATAATCAACAAGCACTTATTAAGTTCCTTCTATGTGCCAAGTACTGCAGACACAATATAATGAATAAAGCAATTTCTATTTGCATGGAGCTTATATTCTAATGGAGGAGACAAGTATATTGTCTAATTATATGGAGAAAAAATATAAAGAGAATACAAAAGTATGTTAATTACAAAGTAGTTTGAGGAGGGCACTAGCAGTTGGAAGGATCAGGAAAGGCTTTGTGTAGAAGGTAGTTCCTGAACTGCATCCTGAAGGAAGATGACAGTTCTTAAGGTTGAGGTGAGGGTGAGAGAGAGAGAGAGAGAGAGAGAGAGAGAGAGAGAGAGAGAGAGAGGAATTCAAGCCTTGGGGACAGCTAATGCAAAGGCACAGGGATGGAAATGAATGAATTAAAAAACATTTATCAAGTGCTTACAATGTGTAAAGCATAGTGCTAAGTGCTAGAAATATAAACAGAAGAGTAAGAGTTTTCCCCTCAAGGAGTTTACATTTTAATTGGGGAGACAACACATATGTTTCAGCTGTAAGTTGAATGGAAGTGTGCCATGGTCCTTAAGGTACAGTGGCAAAGCAGATGGTAAAATGCCTCTTTTTAAATTTCATTTGCACTGATAAAAAACCTATCAGTTTGTGATGCTGAACTATTTGAAGGTGTTAAGGATTTTGGTAGGAAGAACTTCCTTTTCTGGGTTTTCAGTAGCTGTGGTTTTAGCACTTGCAGGAGCAGTTACCAGGCTGTATCACCACAGGGGTTGCTTCCCAGAATGATGGCTAAGGGCACTTGGCTAGAAACACTACTATTCCCAAGGTTCTTGTTTTAGGGTCCTGGCCTATCTCCAAATCAAGAAAGATTTGGGATATTTCAGATTGTGGAAATTGAGTATATAGAGGAAGTGAGAAGTCAGATCCAAAGTTAATATTTGGCCCCTGGGACAATATACTCAATTTCCGTGATCTAGGTCTGAAAGCAGATGGTGGTTAAGGTGATGGTAATTGACTGACCTCCTGGCACATGCTACCTCCTGTCTCTTCCTTGGGGTGTCTTGCTACTTCAGCTGGCTAGTTTGCTTGTTCTGTGGGTAGCAGTTGGGTGGGCTGCTTGATCCCTCTCTGCAGAAGCTGCTTCTCCAGATGATGGTCACGAGGACTGAGCTGGAAGCAGAATCAATGATTCTGGTGATGCTGCCACTCCCAGGGCTCCTGTGCCCATCCACATGTGGGTGGCAGTTGGTCAGCAGTTGCTGGTTCTAGTGATGAGGAAGGCAAGATTTTCTTCAAAATGATCTGTCATCCCAAAAATAGCTTTGAGGGTGGCCTGGAAGCAGGTCCAGTGGCCTGAGGAGGCCAAAGCTTCTCCCAAAGCTCTTGTATACAGAGTTCTAGGCTATCTCCATCAGTACAAGGGAAGATGGTGGTGCTTTCTCTATCAGTATGAGAAAAGATGGTGGGTAAGGCGGTGGTAGTTTGACCTGACTGGCACATGCTTTCTCCTATCTCTCCCTGGGAGCACACTGTTGCTTCAGCCAGACTGGCCTGTCTGCCCCGTGTTGAGCTAATGGTTGGCAATTGGTGGAGATGGCTGGTCTCTTCTCCACAGGGGTTGCCTCTCCAGATGATGGTCACAAGGGCAGGACTACTGGTCTGGAAGGTACTTCCTCCTCTAGGGCTTCTGTGTGCATCTACCCATTGGTGGCATCTGGTCTTTAGCTGTTCCTTGTGGTGATGAGGAAAGTGGGCCTCTCTCTACAATTATTTCTTCCCTCAATGACAGTTTTGGGGGATAGTTTGGAAGTAGGTCTGGTGGCTTGGAGGGCAATGCTATTCCCAAGGATCTTGTATTTTGGAACCTAGAATGTCTCCATAGGGGTCTGTCTGAGGGGGAAGGTGGTCAAAGTAGTGGTGTTTTGAGTTGGCTGGCACATGCCACCTCCTGTTTCTGTTTCTGCCTGCCCCTCAGTTCAGCACCTCATCACCTCTCACGTAGATTACTATAGTAACTGTTGCTTCCAATGGGAGATGGATTGTCATATGTGAGGAACAGAGAGAAAGGTAATTTGGTGGATTAGAGAGGGAGGGAAAGTGATATATAGTGTTACTGGAAATACTGGTTTGGGGCAAGTTATGAAGTTCTTCAAAAGCCAAACAGTTTACATTTTATTTTAGATCCGGATGTCACTGGAGTCTATCAAGTAGGAATGTAATACCGTGAGATTTATGCTTAATGTAAATCACTTTGGCAACAGTATTTAAAATGACATGGCCTAGGGAGAGACTTGAAGAAGGGTCAATTAGGACAGGGGTTCTTAAGTCTTTTTTTTATGTTACAGATCCTTTTGGCAGTTTGGTGAAGTCTATGGAGCTCAATTCAGAACAATGTTTTTAAATGCATAACACACATAGGATTACAAATGAAGCTAATTATACTGAAATTGTTATCAATTTTTTTTAAAGTTTGTGGACCCCAAGTTAAAACTCCCTGAATTAGGGTGATACTTACAGTATCTAATCTAAGGTGCTGTCAGTGTGAGAGGAAAGTAGTCAGTTATGAGACATGTGGGAGTAGAAATGGCAAGATTCAGCAACTGAGTGGATATGTAAGACGAGTTAAATTGACAGGAAGAAACAGACTAACCTCCTGAGGTTATGAATCTGAGACACTATAAGAATAGTGGTGTTTTCGAAAGAAATAAGGAAGTTGGGGGGCATCTAGGTGGCACAGTGGATAGCGCACTGGCCCTGGAGTCAGGAGGACCTGAGTTCAAATGTGGCCTCAGATACTTGATACTTACTAGCTGTGTGACCCTGGGTGAGTCACTGAACCTCACTGCCTAGCCAAAACAAAACAAAACAAAACAAACGAACAAACAAACAAAAAAAACAAACCAGGAAGTTTGGAAGAGGTCAGATTTTTTAAATGCAGACTCCTTAGCTTGGCATTTAAAGCCCTTCACAATTTGGCCCCAATCTACCTTTCCATACTCATATATTACTCCTCTTCACCCACTCCACACTCCAAGACCAGCCAGAATACTTGATGTCTCTCACAGGTGACATTCCACCTTCTATCTTCTTACCTTTGCACAGGCTGTCCCCCATGCCTGGAATATATTCCCTTACCTCCTAAGCATCCCTACCATCTGTCAAAATTCAGCTCAAGGGGCAGCTAGGTTCAGTGAATAGAGCTCTGGCCTTGAAGTCAGGAGAACCTGAGTTCAAATCCAGTCTCAGACACTTAACACTTACTAGCTGTGTGACCCTGAGCAAGTCAACCCCGATTGCCTCACCAAAAAACAAAACAAAACAAACAAACAAACAAAACTCAGCTCAAGTGCTACCTCCTACATAAGACCTTTTCTGATTCACTTCTCTGCTCCAGATGCTTAGCACCTCCCCCTGGAAATTACCTTGTACTTACTCTGCCTATATTTTGTACTTATTGATGCTTATGGTTTCCCCTAAGACTACGTAAGTTCCTTGAGATCAGAGATTGCTTCATGTTTAAGTTTGTTCTAGGTACTTAATAAATGTTGGTTAACTGACTGATGGATAATATATTTTACATTCTCCATTACATTTTACACATCTCCAGAACAACCCTTGTGAGGTAAACAATAGAAATTTATTATATGCATTATACAGTTGAAGAAACTAAAATTCATATAGATTATCTGACTAAAAGTTATATAATAACAAATAAGCAGAACCAGGACTGTGACATAGATCTCAAGATTCCTAGTCCAGTGTTCTTTACACCAGAGGTATCAAATTCATCCAAGTGCTGGAACCAGATTAAAATGTAATTGGTCAATGTTTAACAATATCTATAAAAATACAATACAAAATAGGTAATATTAATTTGTGGCTTTCTTGTTTCTATCTGAGTTTGACACTACTGCTTTACACTATACCACGTTGCCTCTATATAAAAATAAACATATATAGACTAACACTAGTCCTGCATCCCAACACACTATCCTAGCTAACATGACAACATGTTAAAACATGAAAAAATACATGTTTTAAAGTGGTCGAGCCATTCCAGATCTTAAATTGTATCGTAAAGCAGCAATCAACAAAACTACTTGGTACTGGCTAAGAAATAGAGTGGTGGATCAGTGGAAGAGGTTGGGTATGCAAGATACAGTAGTCAATGACTATAGTAATCTACTGTTTGATAAACACAAAGACTCCTGCTCTGGGTTAAGAACTATTTAACAAAAACCGCTGGGAAAACTGGAAAAAAGTATGGCAGAAACTAGGCAGAGACCAAAATCTTACACCATATACCAAAATAAAGTCAAAATGGGTTCATGATTTAGATATAAAGGCTGATACTATAAACAAAGTGGAAGAGTAAGGAATAGTTCACTTGTCAGATTTATGGAGAACAGAAGAATTTATGACCAAACAGGAGATAGAGAACATTATGAAATGCAAAATGGATAATTTTGATTATATCAAATTGAAAAGTTTTTGCACCTACAAAGCCAATGCAACCAAGATTAGGAGGGAAGCAAAAAACTGGGAAAGAATTTTTACAACCAGTATCTCTGATAAGGGCCTCATTTCTTAAATATATAGAGAACTAAGTCAAATTTATAAGAATACAAGTCATTCCCCAATTGACAAATGGTCAAAGGATATGAACAGGCAATTTTCAGATGAAAAAATTAAAGTCATCTATAGTCATGAAAAAATGCTCTAAATCACTATTGATTAGAGAAATGCAAATCAAAACAACTCTGAAGTACCACATCACACCTATCAGACTGGCCAACATGACAAAACAGGAAAATGATAAATGTTGGAGAAGATGTGAGAAAATTGGAGCACTAATACATTATTGGTGGAGTTGTGAAATGATCCAACCATTTTGGAGAGCAATTTGGGGCTATGCCCAAAGGGCTATAAATTATGCATACCCTTTGACCCAACAATAGCACTTCTAGGGCTATATCCCAGAGAGATCATACAAATGGGAAAAATACTACATGTACAAAAATATCTATAGCAGCTCTTTTTGTGGTGGCAAAGAATTGGAAATTGAGAGGATGCCCATCAACTGGGGAATGGCTGAACAAGTTATGGTATATGAATGTAATGGAATACTATCGTGCTATAAGAAATGATGAACAGGCTGATTTCAGAAAAACCTGGAAAGACTTGTATGGTCTGATGCTGAGTGAAGTGAGCAGAACCAGGAGAAGGTTGTACACAATAATAGCCACTTTGTTTGATGACTAATATTGATAAACTTAACCCTTCTCAGCAATACAAGGATCTAAGACATTTCCAAAGGCCTTGTGATGGAAAATGCTACCCACAAAAAAGAAAGAACTATGGAGTTTGAATGCAGGTCGAAGCATACTATTTGCTCTTTTTTTTTCCTTCTGTTTTGTTTTGTTTCCTCTTTCTTGTGGTTCATCATGTTGGTTCTAATCCTTCCTTACAACATGACTAATGTGAAAATATGTTTAATAGGAATGTATATGTAGAGCCTATATCTGATTGCACAATGTCTAGGGGAAGGAGAGGGGGAGATAGGGGGAGAAAAATTTAAAACTCAAAAACTTATGGCAGTGATTGTTGAAAACTAAAAATAAATTAATTTAAAAAAAAAAGAGACAATCAAATGAACCAATACAAAATATTCTGCTCAATAATTGCACACATGATATAGGGCACATGTTTGAAATTGTTCTTAACAATAATTTAAAAACCTACTATTAGTGGGGAAGCTGATCTCTTTTACCAGAAACAAACAAGTTTTTGTGGTTCATAAGTAAAAAGTTCTTCAAAAAAAATAGAGCCACTCTTTTGATTATCATTTTAAGGCCAGTAAATGGTATTGCAATTTTCAATTAGTGTACTGAAATCCAATTCAATTCAATAGGATTTATTAAGAGCTTATTTTGTGTCAGACAAAAACATCTGGCATGGTTAATAGAGCTGGCCTTGGAATCAATAAAAAAACACCCAGGTTCAAGTCCAGCCTTTGACACAAATAGGATGGGTAACCAAGGGCAAATCTCCCTTAATCTTCCTTGACAGGGCCCCAGGTAACTCTCTAAGACCTTAGGTTGCAGAACAATCTGTACAGGTGGATGGGATTTATTCATTGGAAGTTCTCATGACAGAGTGCTGGCTTGGAAGTCAGGAAAACCTGAGTTCAAATCCTTCTTCAGACACTAGCTTTCTGAACTTGGGAACTTCACCAAATCTCTCTGGGCCTCAGTTTCCTCATCTGTAATATGACCCAATGACCTCCAAGCCCCTTTCAGCTCTAAATCCCAGGTCCAGACCTCTCTTGCTCCCCCCATCCCATGCCAAGCACTATAGATACACACAAAATCCAAGGCGTGTTTGAAACTGAGGAGATATGTAAAAGCAATTTAAGGCATTCTATGTATCCCCCAAAGAAACCATTATTTCAGATTAAATTCTAGGCCATAAGTCTCCAAGGAAACACGCAAGGCATGACACACTCCAGCTTTGCGCCAAGCAAATCCACTTCCATCAAATTCAACAGTTAAAATAAAGTCTACCCGCAAATCTAGATAGGGGAGAGACCCCAGTCTTTTCCCTCCCTCTTCTCTTCTGACCAGGGGATAGAGAGCTACACTTAGGAATCGGGAAGACCTGAGCTCAAATCCTGGTTCAGACATTTACTAGCTGTGTGACCCTGCGCAAGTCATTTAACTTTTTGCCTCAGTTTCCTCATCTATGAAATGACAATAACCGCACCTACCACACAGGGGCTTCTCTGGGGGTCAAATGGGATATGTAAAGCGCTTTGCAAACCTGAAAGCGCCATAAAAATGCTTATCATTATTATGTTCTACTTTCCCTTTTCATCTACCTCCCAACACGCTCGAGGAGTTTCAGTTCCTCCCACGGCAGCAGCTGCGGGGTCCAACGACCGCGAAGGTCCTGCGAGGAGCGAGACGCCTGGGTCCCCAAAACCTCTTGTTTGGAGACCCTCTAACCGGAAGCAAACCCTGAGCCACTTCTGAAGTAACTGTCACAGTCATCGCGACTCTGACGCGCGCGCAACTGCGCTCAAGCTCGTCCGACCACTGCCGGCGCAGACTCTCTCAAAACTTCGCTTCCCAGAGTGCCTCGGGGCACGCACTCTCTCAGAACTACGATTCCCAGAGTGCCTCGGGGCACCTCTCCTTCATGCTCTCTTCTGAAGTACTGCTGAGTAGAAAGCCCGGAATTTCCTAAACTGAATTTTTGGTCCAGGTTCAGCTCCTACATCCCACCCATAATTAGCAGTTCTATTTTACCCCGCTAAACCTCAGTTTCTTCCTGACAAGCTTGAACTAGATGATCTCTAAAGTCTCTTCCTGCTGTTAATATGGTAATGAAAGCATTATTATTCCTGTTTTACAAAGGGAAAAAACTAAGGCTCAGAGAAGTGGAGACTTGCCAGTGGGTGGCACAATTATGAAGTGTGAAAAGTGGGATGTAAATCCATTTCTTTTTTTTTCCCCCATTCATTCATTCATCTATCTATATCTTTATTTTTACATTAATTTTAAAATATATTTTTTATTTCGTTAAATATTTCCCAATTACATGTAACTTTTTGGACAATCATTTTTTAAAAATTTTAGTTCCAAATTCTCTCTCCCGTCCTTGAGAAGGCAAGCAATTTGATATCGATTATATCTGCGAAGTCATGCAAAACATTTCCACATTAGCCATTTTACATTCTTTTTTTTTCAATTGAGTTCCCAGTTCTCTTCCTCTTTACCCCTCCTTCCCCACCCATTCCATTGGGAAGGCAAGCAATCTATCAATTATACATGTGAAGTCATCTGTTTCTTATGACCATTTACCACTACAATGTAATGTCTTGGCGATGTTTTCAAATGGACCAAAAAAAAAATGCTCCAAAGAGATCTGTATATAGAGTATTGATTATTTCCAATAGGGAATTTTTTTTTTTTTTTTTTTGTAGAAGCCCTTTATTAGCAGAATTGCATCTTCAGAAAATTGTGAAGCCATTCACCTGGACCAGGTCTAGTTCCTAACAAAGGTTGGGCTTTCCAGAACACACAAATAACCCACAACTTTGAAGTTCCCAACACTTAATTATCACCTCCCAACAAGGAACGAAGACGGCTTATTATATGAAGTAAGCAGGGGGTCAACAGGTTACTTCTCTGACTGTGAGTTTGATAAATGAGCACAGTCACCTGCGCATAATCTGGCTGAGACAGCTCCTGATTAGCAGCACTGGAGGCTTACACCGAAGGCTTGCAAACCTTAGATCCTCACAACAACCCTGTGAGGTAGGTGCTCTCTTACAGCTCCTTAGAACACAAAACAAAAACACAGAGAGGTTATTGTGACCGCTTGCTCAAGGCAGGGCTTGAGCTTGGTTCTTCTTGACAGGAGTAACTTGTTTCGTTGTGATCTCTGCCTCTTAAGCATAACCTCAAACATACAAATGCTACACAGAGATGCAGATAACAGTAATTTAAACTACATTACAATACACTGTACCCGAACACATGGATGCAATTTATGAAAACATTTAGGGGCAAGACAAATTTAACAGTTTCTTGGGGTTTGGGGTTTTTTTTTTTTTTTGGATGTCTGCATCTTGGCAGACAGCTTCCGAAATGGGAGGGCAGTAGTGGTAATTTACTTCTTATTGGGAGCAATGAGGCGACTGAATGATTGATTGATGGATGAATGGATGGATGGATGAAGGGACGCCATGATAAGGGGGGGGAGGTGGTCTTGGTGTAGAATGTCTTTCATTGTGCTGTCCATTCTTTATAGCCCCAGCTTGATTCTTCTCCAGTGTCTCCTTTTTGAGTTGTACCTGATCTTATTTCCAGTTTTCATTCGAATCCATTGAGCAATGGGACGATTCTGCTTCTGTTTCTTGGCCAGGAACCTCTTGATTCTGAATGTTTTATGAGAGGACATGATGATGAGATGACAGCTGAGCTTCTGCCACGATGGCTGGACGGGCGAAAAAGGCGGGAAATTTTTTTTAAAAAGCAAAACAACATACTAAGAGTTCATTTGTTTTCGGAATACTGAATTAATTGCAGTTTTCTCCTGATGGAATATGACTTTAGGATTAAAAACAACAGGATGAATATTTTAAACTATGCACAAAGATATGAAAAAACCCAAATCAAACAAAGCTGAACAGGAGAAACATAAATGACTATCACTATATTAAAATACTATCTATGTCAAATTTATCATCTTCCCCTACCAAGGTCTTCCCTTTTCTTAATTTTCCTGTGACTATGGAGGGCATCACTTTCCTCTAAATCACGCAGGCTCACAGTACAGATGTCATCCTAGTTACCTCACTCTCTCGCCAAACTATTTCCAAGTACTGCCAATTATCCCTTCACCATTTCTCTTGTATTCACTCACTTTTCTCCTCTGACACAGTTATCACCCTGGTATAGATCTTCATCACTTCATGCCTAAACTATGTCAATAGGCTTCTAGTTGGTTTCCCTCCCTCTCTCTTTTTTTTTTGTTACTGATTTCATTCTGTATCATTGCTGACATTTTTGTAACTTCCCAAGTTATGTTTTATTTGTCTCAGAGTTAAGTTTGGAAATTCAGCTTTCCTGTAAACCATCCATTGTTTCTAAGTTAAGTTTAGAAGTTCAGTTTTCCTGCTAATCACTGTTCTATTCTTGCCTCAAGGAAATCTGTTACTCTTAAAGGATGTAGGTGGACATTAGGGAATCTGGTCTGTTATCCAAGGAAGTCTGATCCACTATTGATAAGCTATCCTTTCAGGTAGACTCAAACAATGAACATTCTTAGTGACAGAATGGAAGGAGGGGTTGTTGCTAGCCCCTTATTCCCAATTTCCAGTCAATTATATTGTTCCTCCCGCCTGTGATGCTACAAATTGTAACTTATCACAATGTTTTTCCCCACCTATGATGCTGCCTTCTATTCTGGATGCTTCTTCTGGATGCTGTCACTTTTCTTCGGCTTTTTCTGTTCTTGTTTTTCTGTTTCTTGTTAGCTTTTCTGAGGGCTCTGAGACCATGTTTATTGGCAAATGTGTGCTTCAAGTTTACCATAATTTTGGTTGTAGAGATGTAGAGATTTAAGAGAGTAAGTTTCAGCGTTTTGGCCTGAAAAGTTTTGAGCAGAGCTTCTAAGACTAACATTTTATTTATTTATTTTTTCAATCATCAAGTATTTATTAAGCCACAACTATGTGCCAAGCACCAGGATCCAAGTACAAAGAATGAAACAATCACCACTCAAAAGAACCTTGACTTTTTTAAAATTAATTTATTTTGAATTATCAACAATCACTTCCATAAGCTTTTGGGTTTTAAATTTTTCTCCCCTTCCCTCCCCACCTCCCTCCCTAAAATGGCGAGCAATCTGATATAGGCTATATATATACATTCCTATTAAACATTTTTTCACATTAGTGATGTTGTAAGTAAAGAAAAAAAATAGCAAATAGTATGCTTTGATCTGCATTCAAACTCCATAGTTCTTTCTTTTTTGTGGGTAGCATTTTCCATCACAAGGCCTTTGGAGATGTCTTAGATCCTTGTATTGCTGAGAAGAGTTAAGTTTATCAATATTAGTCATCAAACAAAGTGGCTATTATTGTGTACAACCTTCTCCTGGTTCTGCTCACTTCACTCAGCATCAGACCATACAAGTCTTTCCAAGTTTTTCTGAAATCAGCCTGTTCATCATTTCTTATAGCACGATAGTATTCCATTACATTCATATACCACAACTTGTTCAGCCATTCCCCAGTTGATGGGCATCCTCTCAATTTCCAATTCTTTGCCACCACAAAAAGAGCTGCTATAGATATTTTTGTACATGTGGGTCCTTTTCCCATTTGTATGATCTCTCTGGGATATAGCCCTAGAAGTGCTATTGCTAGGTCAAAGGGTATGCACATTTTTATAGCCCTTTGGACATAGTTCCAAATTGCACTCCAAAATGGTTGGATCATTTCACAACTCCACCAATAATGTATTAGGGTTCCAATTTTCCCACATCTTCTCCAACATTTGTCATTTTCCTGTTTTGTTAGACTAACATTTTAGGTGGAGTTTCTCTCTGACTGATCTGCTGCTCTGCTCCCTGTAATAACAAATTACCATCTTCTAGTCTTTATTCACATGGAAAGGATCTTCTTGGGGCATTAACTTCCAAAATACATGACACTTTCCCATGCTTCAACTGAAAAAAACTATCATCTGGTTTAGAAATTGAAAGTCCTGTTTGTGTAAAGGAAAATCAACATGTATATTTGTGCTGAGGAAAAGTTACTCCACAATGCAATCCAATTAGGCTTAGATGACCATTGAAGTCGCGCCTAGCTCTACGCCTATGATCCAATGAGTTTGTGATCCCTTTCATATTTATGGAAGAGGGATAGAGACTGGACCTGTGATTTTATTGGTGCAGGGAATTCTCAGATGATGAAACCTCCTGTACCTATGCAAGTCAGCACCTTCACTGCATATTATCATTATCTTAGAGAGTTGCCTAGGAACCTAAGAGGTTGTGACTTACTTTGGGAACAGCTCTATGGGAAAGAAACAAGGTCTTCCTGAACCCAAGTCTTCCTAGCTCTGAGGCTGACTCTCTAGCCACTGCGTTGGGTAAGAGAGAATATACTAAATAGGTCAAGCAGTCCAAAAGAGTAGTTCAAAGGATTTCTGAAGTGTTCAGTACTGTTTCCCCACCTAAAATATTAGGAGAATAGGATATAGAGTTCATTTAGGCTGAGGAAAATAGGTCACTAGTGGACTACTTTTATTAAAGGTATTTCCACTGGAGTCTCAGCAGAAGAATCTCACACAGAAGACAAGGATAAAGAAAGAGTAGCACCAGGAGCAGCAATAGGGTAATGAAGTTGTTCTATCTTAAATTCAACTGGGACAACAAGCTTTCACTTGGAAATACAAGGAAGAAATACCCAGTTAATTGACCCAAATGTGTTTAGGACTCTCTTTGGTTTATATACACTAAAACAAAACTTGGCTAAATACTTTTTAA